GCCCACTGGGGATGAATAAAACACACCTACACCTCCAAAAAAAAAAAAAAAAAAAAAAAAAAAAAAGAAAAAGAAAAGGAAAAAAAAAAAAAGAAGAGAGAAACCTAGAACTTTCAATAGATTCCAGAAATACATCCTTGACTTACCCAGCAGCGCTGCCTTTCTGATTGTATAGTTGTTTTCACTCTCTCGTCGCCTCCTCCCCCAAGAAATTGGTGGAACTCGTCAGTGTCGGGGAGGGAGTACCAAAGGCTTTAATTTCTAGGGATAGCGAGATACTTTTTAATGAGCGTCAGAAGTGCTTGAGTCGGCGCAGACCTCTCGCACCAAACATTTGATGTCTTCACCCCGTTGGCTCTCTCCTCCTGCGTCCTCCGTCTCCAGCGTGCCTTGCTCTGCTCTTCAGAGCCCAGCTATGCCCCTGGAAGAAATCACAACGTTTGGTACAAGTCTCACACGGTCCAGCTTGTTAAGGAGATTTTGGGTTGGTTTTTTTTTTTTTGGTTTAAAATATTTACTCACTTTGCAAGACTGCGATATAATTTTTAAAGTACACTGTGACTGAGGTTTATGAAAGTTCGTATTTTCTGGCTGAACTGTATAGAGTCAGTCGAAATTTGTAAACAGGGTAGCAATCAGATACTTTTCTTCCATATATACAATAATTTTTTTAAAGAAGTGCAATTTGCGTTGCAGCAATCAGTGTTAAATCATTTGCATAAGATTTAACAATGGTTTTTATACGAATGAATGAATGTAAACATTTTAACTTAATGGTACGTAAATAATTTAAAAGAAAAACTTAACTAGGCATCCTTAGGCTTTTTAGTGCAACAAAACCCCATCCACTTTCTGTATTTCTAGTTGTTAAAGCAAGAGTTTCAAAGAACAAGCCTTCTCTCAGGAAAATTGCCCTAGCCATTTGCTCGGAAGTATTGTACAAAAATACAAATGCATCCCCAGTGTTTTTTTGCCTTTGAATAAGTATGTGCTGGAAAGAAACAAATCACAATGAAACTTTACTACCTAACTGACACATATGTAAATACTCCATAAGATATTTAGGCATCTTGAAAATGTAGGATGCAATCTGTATAGTGTGACTGACGCATAGTTAGGTTGGTTTCCATTGGTTTTTAAGCGGGATGTCATTTGGCAAGTTGTTTCATCAGAGCTTTACAAATAAAAGGGTATCATTTTTGGGATATATTTTTTTTTTCCTGTACACTGTGCCTTCTCCTTTGTCTCCAATGCAATTGTTAAGCTGCATTAAAAGCTATGGAAATGTACCTGATATGGGCAGCGTGTCTGATGGCTGCAAGGAAGGTCTCCAGCTGAAGTGCCTGCTCTGGCCAGCTAAGCCTGCATTGTGTGTGGCTTTCCTGCAGATCCTATGATCTATGATCCTATGCCTTCTGATGATATGTAACACTAGGGCCTCCACCTACCAACACAAGCCCCCCCCATGGGCATGTGAGAGGTTTTTCTGATGAAAATCTGGGGAACTAATCCCATACCTTGTGAGGACTGTTGTGGTTTCACTTGGCCTTCATGCCATAGCTAAAGGGTCTCACCCTGGTCGCCTGTGTGTGGAAATATCTGCCTGTGACCCACTGCAGACGTAACTGCGTAAGGCCAACTGGGTGGCAGAGCCACTGCGTGCCTGCTGGCATCCTCCAGTGGCCAAAGGTGAAGGGCAGCAAAAACTGAAGGTGCTGCTGCAGAAAAGAGAAGACAGCGAATTTTAGCTACTGAGGGGAATGGAAAACCTTCCACTGGCTCTGAGGACCGGTCCTCTGCATTGCTTGGCTGACCAGAGCAAGACAACGCTGCGTGTGATTTCCAGCTACGTGGGCCGTGCTGTCAGCCGGGGAGGCTGGGATCCCCAATCTCCATACCCAGTGACCAGCGGAGCTGCTGCGACACATTACTTCATCTTTCTGAGCCAGAATTTAATTTGGGGTGAATTGGGGTACCTCCTTGGCCTCCAGTGAGGCTCTGCTGATTTGCATCAGATGAGAATCTGCCCCTTGGTTTTCCAACCCAGACAGTCAAGGCCATCTCCTTGCCCTGGGGTTGTCATGAGGACCGCAGGACGAATGCTGCAGCATAGTCCTCAGATTGGAACGGCTAAGCAAAAAGAGCAAAAAGAGGTTGGCCCAAGCATCACCTGGGGTTTAGGCTTCCCCAGCCAGCCAGGGACCTGCTCACCTTTCCTGGTGGGGCCATCACACCAGCCTTGGTGCTGGGCCACATCACATCCAGCTGTGGCTGGGTAGCCCAGCCCTTCTAGCCTTGAGGCCAAGTGGGCTTGGATCTCCTGATTTACAAAAATAAAACCCTATCTAAGTGCAAAGTAAGTCATGCGGAGAGACATTGTATTTAAAAAGCAAAAGGTGTGCAGAAGAGGGTGAATACCTTTAGAAGCATTTGTTGGCTAACATGCCCTTTTCAGTGATATTCAAGTGTTGACACTTAAATGGCTAAACCAGCTGTTGCTAACTGGTGTTGAAGAGTGTTCAGCCTTAGCTGGGGTTGGCATTATTTTTTTTTTCCTTTTTTCTTGCCAGGGATGAAGTTTGGTGTGCCACTTCTGAAAAGCCTAGCGCAAAACTCACTGCCGGGCGTGTCAGAGCTGTGTTGCTTGGAGTTATCGCAAAATAGAAGATTTGGACCAGTGTGCCCCAGTTTTGGGCTGCTGACCCAGCAGAAAAAGTCAGCTGGCTGGTGGTGATCTTGCCGGCAGCCTGTGGAAGGCTGTGTTGCTTTGAAACCCTGTGGCACAGAATAAGAGAGGTCCCAGGAGGCCCCGCTCCCTTCTCAGCACCAGCCTAACCCAGGGTCTGGCTTAGGGTGGTTCCAGCAGATAGTAAGTCTTGCAGAGGGCATCAAAAGGTGCCTTATGTGAATGGACTCCTCTTGGATCTAAGGCTGAAAATGCTCTGTTAGGTGATATCAGTAAAAAAGAAAAGAAGAAAAAAAGAAAAAAAGAAAAAACAATATTTCATAGGGAAGGTGTTTCCTATTATTTCTTATCAGCAAAACCATCAAGAATGAAATACTTTGCCTCCTTGGACTGGAAGCAGGGCTAAATCACTTTTTTATCCCTCTGCAAGAGGCAGGGGATGCAGTGCCATGTTACTCAACCAGGTACTGTGTTATGATTTTACATAGAAAAAGACTGTAAGAACAGTATCTCCCTACTCACCAAAACTGCTCTCTAAGGGTACCGATTGCTGGAGCGGTTACTGCCTGACAAAATAAAGGTTTTTCTTTTTTTCTTTTTTATTTTTTTTTTAATTTTGTCTTTTAGTTCTGCTGAGCTAGCACAGCTCTGGGTGTGTGAGCTGGACTTTGCTCTGGCTCATACATCATCAGTAGCACTGATACTGATGGACAGCCTGGCCAGATGCTTTCCTCACTTATCCCTGTTTCTTTTCAGTGACAGCCGCTGGGATGGGCTGAGAAAGAACAAAGAAAGAGTTTGACCACAGATCTCGGTTACTAGTGAGGCTGAATGAGCCAGACTGACCTCAGCGCAGCTCTCTAGCACCAGAATGAAGTTTCAGAGTTGATATTTGGGGGAAAAAAACTCTATATGGTTATTTGGCGCCTTAGCACCTTTACTCTGGAAACAGCCAGAATTAAATAGCCAATGATGCAAGGCATCTGCTTCAGGCTCCCCCATCAAGCAATACTAGAAGGCTCGCATTAGCTTGGGTGGCCCATCAAGAGTGGTTTGCCCCTGGCCACATGTGTCACCCTGGGCTCCAGTCTTCCCTAGGTCCCAGGTGTTGTTTTAGTAGTGTTCCCATCACCCTCACCCATAATCATATTTTTTCTGAAATAAGTTGAGAGCCCTACCGTGATCCAGAGTGGTATTTCTCAACCTGGCATTGAGGGCACATACTGGTGTGGTACGAGTGGTGTGGAGGCACATGAGGGTGCGACTGCTGTTGGGCTTGGGTTGGTGATTTGGGTAAAACTGAGAGAACCAGCCTTGGACAGGTTGCCCAAAGGGAGTAAGAGGCTCCTGGCTGTTTCCAGAACTCCAGGTGGGGTTCGTTACATGTGGATGATCAGAGGGAAAGCACCTGGGTATGAGGTGAGGAGCCAAAGTAGCTGATTTGTTTTGGTTTTCTTGCTGTAAAGCTAGATAGAGCCACGCACCACCCCTGTAACATTTGCCATACAGAACTTGGGTAATTTTCTGTCTGTTCCTGCATAAAAATAGTATCTCTTCTGCTTCTTTCCAAGAGGAGAAGGGATTTAGGAGTTAGTTATACCCTCTCCCTGTTACTGTGAGCCTTAGCTGAGTGCAGGCTACAGAAACCCAAAATGGACTTCAACTGTTCCTGTGTGCTCACAGCTCCAGATCTTCCTTATCCAGCTGTCCTGAACTTCATTCCTCACAGATCCTCCAGTTCCTAAATCTGTATACACTGGACATTCCAGGGTTGTGTCAAACACACTAAATTCAGTATTAAAATATAGGGCAAGGGTTATTGCAGTGGGCCGGGGAGAAGGAAACTGAGGGCTTGAGGAGCAGTTTCAAGTGGCCTCTGCTCCACATGTTGCAAAAGGCTTGAGGTCTTCGTTACGTGTTTGCAATATGTTTTGGAATCACTTAAAGCCATCTCATGGAAGTTGGTATAAAATATAGGAGAGGAGGGTAGGATTCAGGTGCCCAGGTGGACATGCAGTCAAAGAAGAGTTGTCAGAGCGATGTAGTAACCAAAAGTGCTAATGTACTTCTTGGACAAATAATCGGGGAAATATTGAGTAGGAGTGAAGAGGTAATTTTAATTTGGGATGCTGCATCCAGACCTGGCATCCACATTTGAAAAGGATCTTGAAAAATTGGAGAGAGTAGGGAAAAGAACCACAGAAATGATTTAAGGACTGGGGAAAACGTCTGGCCTTGACACATTTAAAGACCACAGTCAGCTCAGAGTGTCCAAAGGAAGAGTAAAAGGTGACTGGT